CAACAGGAACACCAACAGGAACATCAGGAACATCAACAGGAACACCAACAGGAACACCAACAGAGGAGACTGAGGTTTGACCTTTCACCTTGACCCCAACACTGACTGTCGCTCCACCACTCTCTCTCTCTCTCTCTCACACACACACATACACATCAAAAACTTACAGTGTTTCTAAACTGTGGAGTCCATGGAAGCAGTTGGTTCCCATGGAGACGATCCTGTTGTTGTTGAGATGACTGTGGAGAGAGAGAGAGAGAGAGAGAGAGAGAGAGACTAATGAGGCAGACAGTGATAGTGTTGGGAAGACCGTCATTTTTTTACTGACTCAGATCTTTGACTCTCGAACACTGATTTGAACGAATCTTGAACGAGTCAATTCGTTCATTTTTACAGCAGGTGGCGCTGTAGCCCTCTTGTGGGCAACATGGTTTGTTTCAGTCTAATATTGCACAGAACATCCAACTCAAACCGTGTTTTCTCCAGTCCTGCTGACTCGGCTTATGCAGGTGTCTGCCATGTGGCGAGAGAAGGTACTGCATGAAAACAAACGAAGTCAGGTGAAAGACTAGTTCACGTTGAACGAATCGTTGACGAACGACACGTCACTAACACACACACAGTAAAGAACAGGATCAGTACATGAACACGTCCACCAGGTGTCAGCGGCGTTGACCGCAGCTCAGTCTGGATTTTTCTTCTTCTTCGATGCTGTTTACATTTCAGTTCCACTGTGAGCTCCACCAGAGGTCAGTGTTCTGAAGGATCCACTGTGGTCAGAGACGACCTGAGTGCCGCTGACCTCAGCTTTAACACCAGTCCCTGGACTGGCACTGAGCTCAGGTCTGGACCCCTCACACGTAGGAACACTTTCTAGACCAAAAGGTCAGGAGTCAGACGCAGCCTTGGCGACCGTCTCAAGGCCGGCTGGTCGCCATAGCAACCAGTGACATCACAGGAGGCTGGACTGTTGTGGACGTCTCAGAGATGACTGGACTCACAGCGATCAAAGACATCAAAGAACCAGCTGGAAGAATGGGTGAGTTCTGAGGACTGTCTGGGACATGAGGACAAGGCAGCGAAGCCCAGTCACTGCTGCCACCTGCTGGCCAGTACCAGGAACTGTTCATTCAGAGCCTGAACAAAATCTGAGACAAAAAAAAATAAATAAAAATGCAAAAACAGCAGAAGACGAATGACTTGGAGACGTTACCGCTGGACGTGGCCAACGTCCTGGGGGTCCTGAGACAGACCACGTCCTACCTGCTGAATAAGTGTCAGGAGCTGGACCAGGTGAAACTGGAAAACCAGAGGCTGAGCGATGCCCTGCGCCGGCTACAGGCCAACCATCAGAGGTTTGAACGTCTGAAGAACGAGATCCAGTTTCTCAGCAAAGCTCTGGACAAGTCGGAGGCCGAGCAGCGGAGGATCGACCGCACGATCGACAGCCTGAAAAATGAAAACGTCCAACTCCGCCAAGCTCTGCGTCATTCCTACACCGACCAGCAGGCGGTGGACGACCTAAAAGCTGAGAACGCGAGGCTGTGCAGGGCCGTGCGCTCGTCGACCGTGGCCCAGCAGAAGCACGAGCACCTCCAGAGTGAAATCCTGGAACTGCGTCACGCTCTGTGGAAGCTGACGGGGGTTCTCCACAGGCCGATGACGGAACGCCAAAGGTCCGAACACGTGAAGAGTCAAGTGTGCGAGCTTCAGCGACCTCTGCAGGATTCGCACGGCCAGAAGAAGAGGTTGGAGGCTGTGAGGAGGGAAGCTGAGACGGAGCGCGCTCAGAAGTCTCCTCCGGACCAGCACACCCTCCACTTCCTGCACCTGAGGAACCAGAAGCTGCTGGAACGTCTGCGCAAATCCACCGCCGAATCCACGGTGAGCGCCGTCGCCGTCACCGGTGTTCAGGACTTTCGAGAGGCTCTGCAGAAGTCGGAGGCGGACTTTGACCTGCTGTGGAAGGCCACGGTCCCTGAAGTACCTGAAGGTCTGAACCTGTGAATCCTGTCCTGGTCACGAACGGCTGCAGGGATTGGTCCGTATTATTCAACATCCAATGAAAAGCTCCGATTAAAAGGTTGATTTTCTGCCTGTTTTGTTTTGTGTTTTCTGTCGTTCTTGGGTTTCGTGCGGTAAAACAACGACATTATGTCCCTGTCGTCTTGTACCGACGGACCAGGGATTAGTTCAACAACGAGCAACTAAAAGAGCGCCCTCTGCTGGAACAAGGGGAACCTAGACAACCCTGGGACAGCCCTGGGTCTGGAACTACACCTGTAGGTGTGGCCTTTACTCACAGCACCACCAGGTGGCGCAGTTTCCTGAAGGCACCATCGGGGACATGGGTGATGTGGTTGAGGGCCAGGGTGACGGCCTGGAGGGCGGGCAGATCCTGGAGGGGCGCCACGGGTACTTCAGTCAGAGCGTTGTCATCCAACCACAGGTGACGGAGGAAACCCAGAGCAGAGAAACATCCAACGGGAACGCTGGAGATGTGGTTGGCGTCCAGACGGCTGTGAAGACCAGAGTGACATCATCAGCAAAGGCCAATCA